CCTGGCGATAATATAAAGCACGCAATCTCGCAGCTTGGCGCTTTCTCTTGTCTATCTCGTATAAATCTTTTTATCTCTTGTCTAATACTTCCCCAACCCCCCCCCCCCCCCCCCCCCTCAATCTCGTGTACCCATCCTCTGCTGATCAACGTATATATTGCCTATATCCTAATAGCGTCGCAGTGTCCTCTCTTTGAGTGCAGAAACACTTCTACGATCTCTCTCATTGCACGCCTGCGGCGCTCCAATCGTTGGAACAGCCTCACTCGATCGAAAATGGGTAAACTCAAGGTTTTGGCTGGGCCGACGGTCAGTGAGGCTACTGCTGCATCTACAGACACCGACCGCGCTAGCGATCTACAAGTGATTCACGATGGTGAACTCACCTACACCGTGGTCAAAGCCAACAATGGATCGGGCGTGACGTACCAGGAGGCCGTCGGTGCGCCGGTAGAGTCGAATTCACCGCTGGGCTATCATGTTGGCTGGGTGACTGTTATTTTTCTGAATGTCAATCATATGATCGGCACAGGCATCTTCTCCACTCGTGCGTACCGTATTGTTTCTCGCGGAAACCAGTCACCTTATTACCAACATATCCCATCAGATGAGAGCTAACATAATCTCCTTCGCAGCGGGTACTATCTTGGCGGCTACAGGTTCAATTGGTCTGGCTCTTCTCTACTGGACGATAGGCATTCTCCTTGCTGTCACCGGCTTCTCCGTCTATCTCGAGCTGGCGAGCTACTTCCCCAACCGATCAGGGGGTGAAGTTGTGTATCTGGAGCAGGCTTATCCAAGACCGAGGCATTTCTTCCCTATTGCTTTCGCGTTCTACTCCGTGGTTCTCTCCTTCAGTAGCAGTAATGCAATCGGTAAGTATTGAGCTGTCATCCTGGTATTTGACGACCGCCACTGCTCACACCAGTTTGTAATGTAGTACTTTCTAATTATCTATTTGCCTTGGCCCAGTATGTGTCTTTGAGCCTGCTACCCTCTTCTTTCGCGAGTAGCAAGTGCTGATTCCTAATAGCAAGACACCGACAGATTGGGAGTCGAAGGGCGTGGCCGTAGCAGCTTACACCGCTGCCGTCATATGTGAGTCTCAACGGCCTTTATCTGGACCCGATAAGAATCAATCGTTTAACACTTATAAAAAATACCACAGGCGTCATAGCACACAACAAGTACTCACTCTGGGCAACAAATATTATCGGTATTGTCAAGGTCATCACGCTCATCTTGTATGTGTTGACCCGACATCAGGATATGACCTGAAGCACTGATTACATGACTTTTAAAGCATCAGCATCACTGGCTTCGTCGTTCTAGGAGGACATGTTGCTCGAATCCCGGACCCTGGTCTCAACTTCCGCAACTCATTCGAAGGCACCACAAACAACGGAAACGACTTATCGGTGGCTTTAGTCAACGTGCTTTTCGCATACAACGGTTATGCCAACGCCTTTGGGTTGGCTAACGAGATTAAGAACCCAATTCCCACACTGAAGCGGAACGGTGCGATTTCCATCACTATAGTCGCGCTACTGTATATCCTCTGTAATATTGCGTATTTTGCGGCGGTCCCTAAAGAAACATTCGCCCAGTCAAAAGCCATCGCAGCATCGGTGTTTTTCGGCGCTGTGTTCGGCCAGGGTCGCGCTCAGGACGCCTTGAATGCCCTAGTTCTGATCAGCGCATTTGGTAACCTGCTGGCGGTGCTCATCGGACAATCTCGCCTGATTCGGGAGATTGGAAGGTAGGTTTGTCGATTTCCGTTGGTACTGAATCGAACGAATAGCTGACTGGGGTGAATCTCGAATAATCAGGCAAGGTGTGCTTCCGTTCACTGAGTTCTGGGTGTCCACGAAGCCGTTCGGGACACCTATAGGGCCCTATCTCCTTAAATATGTAGTTACAGTTATCTTCATCATTGCCCCTCCGGCGGGTGATGCATTCCAGTTCAGTAAGTCGCTAATTGGCAGCTTCGCCCTATATGCATATTTGTATTCGTTGAAACATGCTAATCTTCTCACGTACAGTCGTCAGTCTGAAGACATACCCAGATGGGGTCTTCTTCACTGCCATGGCAATTGGGGTCTACCTAATTCGATATAGACAGAAACGTCTAAATCGTGAGAAGCCAGCTTTCAAGGCTTGGGATGCTGTGAGTTGTACTCGTAGTTACTCTCTTTGTTGCGCCAGGAATGGGAAACAACTGACTTTGGGCGCCGCAGTGTGTGATTTTCTTTCTCCTGGTGCAGATATACACTCTTGCCACGCCTTGGATCCCCCCCAAGGGTGGACCGTACGCGGGCGCCGTTAGCTTCTGGTACGCTACATACGCTGCTGTAGGCATTGGCATGTAAGTAATGTTACTTTATCAGCCAGGCAGCTCTTAATTGTCATATGTTTTGGGAGACTACTAAACAAATGAACTTCTCTCTAGCATCGTCGGCTGCGGTATATATTATATCTGCTGGATGTGAGTAATCCTTAGGATCTTCTCGCCTTTCCCCCTTGACTCCTTATAGCGTCATCATGTGTTCGTTGACAATTGTTGACCGGGATTATCGATAGGCAACTTATACCGAAATGGAAAGGTTATCGATTGCGTCCCGAGATCTTGAACGTTGACGACCAAGGCGCCAACACCCACCGGCTGGTCAAAGTCCCTGTAGATGAGCTGGAGAAATGGGACAGTGAACATGACGAGGCAGGCCGCTTGCGACGGACGCATAGAGTTGAGCAACCAGTCGCGGAGACCAGCTCCGTCGAGAAAGAATTGTGAAAAGTAGTAGGACTCGATGGCGAAACACGCCATGGCATCTCTCCCCTTGATGCCAAAAAATACATAATTTCTACCCAAAGGTGATATGATCACGTAAAGAATTTGTTTTTCTTATTGTGGTGTCTCCAGAACAGTATACTATTGCTACCGAGGTACATTGCCACCGCACTGCGCTGAAGCAGCGTTCACATGTCAGAAAAATCAAGGCGGGGGAATTTGTTGGTCCACCCAATTTTCCATAGGTATATGATATACCTATCCTTGCGTATTTCTACACGCACATCATCGGGGCATCTGAAAAATTCGGCAGACTGTAATTCTGTTCATTTCAGCTCAATTCCATTCTAATCATTATGTCAACCTTGAATACATTTATGTATACTCTATTCTGTAGGGTAGTCGATCTGTCTAGACGATGCGATTATGTCCCACGATCTTGTTTCTCCCAAGTTATATGGCTTCCATAACAGGATGCTTTGGAGGCCTGGATGCGTATTGTCTCACACCGATGCATCTTACACCATAATTGCAGCGCCAAGCCCAAGCAGTCAAACGCCAATCACCATAACGTACAAAAAAGTCAATCAAAGTTGAAGCGGAGGCTTAGAAAGTTGCTACAGCGATGGCAATGGACTGCGTCTCAGAGTGAGAAATGGACACAGTGATCTCTTTCACACCTGCCTTCTTCGCGGCATCTGCGGCATCACCGTGGAGCTAGAGATAATCAGTTAGTGGGATAACTAGGGACAACATTCGTCATTAACTTACAGAGACAATGGGTGCACCCTTCTCGTTGGGTAAGATTTCAATTTCCTTGAGTGGCGCACCTGCCCCTTTACTTGGAACGCCGAGGCTTTTAAAGACAGCCTCCTTGGCGCTCCACCGCCCCGCGAAAGAGCCCTGAGGGCTCGCTGTCTTTCGGCAATAGGCGATCTCTCTTTCGGTGAAGTTTCGCTCCACAAACGTGTCATTGTCAATGTTAACTGCGGCAATATCTTCTACATCAACACCGACCTTATTATTCTTCCCTGTCTCAAGGCTACGGGCTAGACCCTCGACGACTTCTTTAGTGGTCCGAGTTCTCGCGATTTGTGGCGCCATAGCCTGTTTGGCGAAGTTCGAGGGATATGTCAGATCTGCCCCCTTCTTTTCTTGGGTAACTCTCGCATCGGGGTTGAGTAGCACTGATGAGAGCTGCTCGTCAGTGTAGGGAGACTCAGTCTTGGCTTGGAAGAGAGAGTTGTGAACAAGACCGTTATGGAAGTATCTATAGGCCTTCTTCTGACGAGCAGTGACCTTAGCTTGGTACTCGGCATATTTTTCTTGGTCAAGCGTCGCGAATAGGTATCGCGGATGGATACCAATGGCCTGAGCGCCCTTTTGGCCGAAACCGAACGATGTTACGGAGAACGCTTTCACACCGTCCGTTTGGATACTTCGACTTGGGTAGACAATCAGGTCAAATTTCTCCATGACCTCATCGATATTGTCAGCATTGCGATTGCCAGGAACTAAGCCCGAGTTGAGAACCTGGAGACAGCCATTGAACATCCAAGCGCCAGCAGCACCTTTGGGGTGGCCAGTCAGGTACTTCTGGAAGATACCCATAACCGCATTGCCCTTCTTGCGACCAAGGTGGCGTAATTGTTGACAGATAACTGAAGATTCATTCTTATCGTTCGCCTTGGTTGAGGTTCCGTGGAAAGACGCGACGCCGAGGTCATCAATCGTCAGTCCCCAAGTGGCCAAGCAACCACGCAGAGGAGCAATCGTTGGATCTTGTTTCCAGAAATTGTTGCCAAAGCTTCGCACAGCTTCTCTCTCCTGTCTTTCAGCTTCCTTCTCTATATGAATAGCCCTGTCTTGAGTGTATTCCTTCTCGTCAAATTGGCTGCCTTCAGCCTGCATTGCCGCAACCTCTTCGTATAGATACTCAAGTTCCAATTCCTTCCAGCTGCGAATCTGGTTTTTGCGGAGCTCGATTTGACGGCGACGGTACCGCATGTCAAGCAAAGGTGATGGGAATTTCCCAGGTGCCTCGCGCGCAGTTGTCAGAACACCTTGACCAGGTGCTGGTACCGAGCGGCCAATCTTGTCACTTGCTGTGGTCGTCAGGGCAAGAATGCCGTAAACGGGCAGCCCCATGTCGATTGCGAGCTTGGCCGTCATGATGATTTGCACGCCACAGCCCTGTGATTCCATAAATCCATTTCGGGTCGTGGTAGTAGGGCGGGACATCTCTTGTGGAGTGCGGCCGTGTGCAAACTCATCGACAGCATTACTGGTCGCCTTCATGTTGGCGAATTCGAACGAGCCTTCCTCACTGAAGTCGTCAAACCCACCAACAATGCAAACACGAGCCTTACCCTCCATAATGGTCTCGTAACCAATGTCAATAGACTCGACAGCGGTAGCACAAGCACCAACAGGGGTTTTGATAGGCCCAGAGGACGAAAGCAACAACATATTGACCCAAGCTGCCATAGTATTGATGAATGATTCCTGGAGAATGTCGTTCTGGACTGGTTGGTCCATCTTACGCTTGTTGTACATGCCGTTAAGAGCGGTCATACCGCCCATTCCGGAACCAATACAGTTTCCAAGCTCAGAGACGTGTACATACTTATAGAACTCGTAAGGGTCCGAAATACCGGACGTCAAGAGAGCCTCTGCGACAGAGACGAGAACGAACAGTGTTACCCGGTCGACTTGAGAGATAATGTCGTCAGGAACACCATACTTCTTCGCATCCCAACCGGTTGGAAGTTGACCAGCGACGAGACGATCGAACCGAAGAGCCTTGGGAATCCACAGAGTAGCGCCTCTCTTCATTCGAATAATGTATTCACCGGACTCCGGGATTTCGAAAATCTCACATTTGTCACCGTGTTGTCTCTTGAATTCCTCTGCCGTTTCTTTGGAACCTTCAAACGGCTCTAGATCTTCTTCCAGTGAAACTTCATGGAGCATCATCTTCTTATTGGGGTCGTATCCTTCAAAGAGCTCCGGCTCAATAAGACGGATACCTGCGTGTTCAAGGATGTACTTCTCATACTTCGGCTTCACGTCCTTATCTTCCACTGGCTCTCCGGTCTTCGCATCCACCCAGCCTGAATAAGGTTGACCCTTGATAGGCCCATTATGATTTTTGATGAGACCCATAACCCAGGCCATTTCAATGCAGCCCTCTAGTGAAAACTCGCCGTAGGCTTCCATCTCCCAGCGGGTTCTCGCATTACCCCAGGGACCAACTTCGGCGAACCCAGTCACCACAACCACCTTGTCCAGGTCGACCATACCCTGAAGGTTCTTGTTGAGGGGTTTCACCTCCCTCTCCCAATCTGGCAGAGTAGGGAAATCAAACTTGATGTTGGCTCGTGGCTCAATGACCTTCTTTCTGTATAGGACCTCAGAGTCCTCGCCATGAACAATCTTGTTCTCTAAAGCAGTTTCCTTGGTAACGGCTTTACGGACCTCGCTAGTTTCCATAATATCCTTTCGAAGTCGTGTCATTGTGTCGTTAAGATCAGGTATAAACTGAAGGCCGCCGTTTAAGTCAGCGAAGACAGGTTCATTCTGGCAGATGTCCACAATATCGGGTGACATCAAACCAAGGAGGTTAAAGGCCATCTCTTGCTGGGAGAAAGTTCGAACGCCAAACTGCTCTACACCTTCGGCCACAATGTTGTTGCCTGACATCAATCCAGTACCACGAGTCCAGCCAATGACAGCTCCGCAGATGGTGAGATAGTTTGCCCAATCCTCAGAATGCCAGCGGTTGAAGAGAGTCTCAAGTCCCAGCTTCGATTCACTGTAGAGACCATCGTTGCCAAATGTGCCGTGGTTAGGTGAAAGAGGTAGCACAACTTGTGCGGGACGCGTCTCAAATCCACGTTCAGACTTCTGAGTCTTGACGCATCCCAGCAAACGCAGTAGGTTGGTCAGCATAATTCGGTGGGCGAGTTCCGATTTTGAGTCGATGCCATCAATCTGTCGTCCGTTTTCTGGGATAGCAGCAAAAGGGATAATATAATCAAGATCCCATCCAAGGCCATTCTTAGGATCGTAGATATATTCGATGAGTGCCTCGACGTCTTGCTTACTGCCCTGGTTGAAGGGTACTACAATAAGCTGAGACCCACGAGCACCATACCTGGCGTACATGGACTGATAATATTCGGTCACCTGTCGCGAGAACCGACTGGTTGTCACGACGACTTTTGCACCGCCACTAATAAGGCCCTGAAGAACTTCGGCACCAATTGACCCCGCACCAGCACCAGTCATGAGTGCATACTTCCCTTCGTACGTAATGCCAGATTTGGCTGCTTCCTCGAGACAGTCAAGATAGATACCCGTAAGCTTCTTGCTATAATCCCAGCCATGCAAGTTGTGTCGCTTGAGGTGTAGAAAAGGGATTGTTTCCATTTTCCCCTTGTTTGTCTGACCATTAGCCTTAAGACCAGCCTTCTTGACCAGACCACTCGCCTTGCCGTTTTCTTTTGGTAGTATTTGACTTTCGTTCATGGCGAGAGAGCGGAGAACGTTACCATACAGGTTTTTGAACTCTAGTTTTGCAGTTTTCGACATCTTGTGTTGCTCTTTGATAAGCTTTACAAGACGGCCAAGATCGTTCTGTACTTTAGTCCGGTTACCGTACTCAGAAATCTTGCCACCTTCTGCCATCTGCTGGACATAATGTTCAAGCTTTCGGCAACTCTGTCGAGGCACTTCTTCGTAACTGAGGTTGCCCCGAGCATCAACGGTTGTATGTGGTCCAGTTGGAACAGCAACATCCTTGTACACAGGAGAAATATTGAGCACCTCCTTGCAGTTCTCAATCAGTTGCTCGCCTAGCTCTTTGGCGAGTTTGTAGGTTTCACCTCGTTCCGTTGGGCAGTTGTCGATGTGATATTGCATGAATTCTAAGAGGAGGGGGTTTGATTTGGTCATGATACGGATGCACTGACTCACGATTTCCCTGTCAACTACCTGCAGTCGACCGAAAATCACATCATAGTACATGCTAAGTGCATCTTGACGAGCCCAGTTCCATGACGAGTCATAGGTGCGAGCCTTAAGAGGGCTGAAGACAGGCTCAATGCCACTAGCATAAGCGTCACCATGTTCAGCATTCCACAAGTCCAATTGAGCTTGTAGGACCTGTTGTGATTCGCTAGTCGTCTGTGCTGCCTTATCACCAGCGCGCAGATCCATCTTCAGATATCGTGCAAGAAGCTCAAGTTGCTGCTTGAATAGTGCTCGCTGATCTTTTGTGAGGGCATCGATGGCAGCGGGATCCATCATCATACCGCCACTACCTCCAGCAGCCGGGCCAGCTGCTGCCGCGGTCGAAAGTGTGATACCAGCGTTCGAGGCATATTTTTGCACAACGTCGTCGAAGTATGCCTTGGCCTCTGCCTCTGACGGTAGTCGCGATGCTGGTTCCATAGTTATGGCCAAGACCAAAACCCCATCCTGCCGGCCAGACGCCAGACCCCAACGCGTTTCCAGGTACTTTCGTACCAGTGTGATATTGAACCCACCAGGCATTTTCGACGACACGAAACGCGCAACCAATGACTGAGAGTGCTTTCCTAACTGACCATTAAACGTTTGTTGCATAAGCGCGGAGAGTTCATCCAAGGGAGTATCTTCTGGCTTCTCCGGGGTAGATCCAAATTCTTTGCCCAGATCTCCAAGGATCTCATTTTGTAATGTTGATTTGCCTGCACCGCTGTTAATACCTCTCAACCAATACACTTATGACGGTAAGACAAACCTCCAACTAAGTCTTTAATGGCCTTCCCTAACGGGACTTCGAGGAACGGCTTCTTGAGCTTTTGAGCAATAAGAGCTCTAACGAGTTCGAGGGCAGACACTGGCGCATCTGGGACTGCAACTGCTGGACCTGCACTCGGGGCAGGAGCGGCGGCCACAGGAGCGGCGGACGCAGCTGGGGCGGGTGCCTGGCTTGAAGGGCCCTCAGCAGCATTGGCAGTGGTCTCCGTTTCCTCCTCCACCGGATCAACATCGTAGTAGATCTCTTTGGCATCCTTGTTGTAGCACAAAATCTGTCGCTGGACTGACTTGGCGGCATCGAATGCTTCGTATTTGGAGGCCAATGTTCTTTTAGCCATTACACCTAATGTGTCTGCCGGGCCAACCTCCACAATGCGCTCGGCTGTCTTCTCTCCAAGAAATACATCCTGCGTCTCGATCCACCTTACAGGCGAGGCGAACTGGTATGCTAGAAGCTCCACAAGCAATGTGTGGGCAAGTTCTTGTTCAACTTCAGGACGCATCTTGACAGTGGTATGGCGGTGGTCTTATGGAGTACAGGAGGAAACGAGGACAAATAGACACCGGGAGCGATGGTCCGCGGTGAGTAGTCTATCTTTTTCGACCGCCCAAATTCGTGAGGGTTGTTGTGTGTATAAAAGGGATTCGTCGTTATCGTCGTGGTGACGGAGAAACGCTTCGACTCGCTCGCAGGCGCCGACAAGCGGAATAGATTAAAAATTGTCTATTAAAAGTAGTGTGGTGTTGAAAGTTGAGGGCCGTCCTGGAATTGAGACCCTGCAGAGCGGTATGAGCGGGTTCCCGCACAAATGGTATGGACGGTTCAAGCGAGGAAATGATACGAAAGCGGAATGCTTCTTGGATGGGATAGATAGACAGTAGGTAGGCAGATAGGGAGGAGTAGAGGATAAGGCAAGATACAATATCTAGCTAGCTATTTGGTAGGTAGGTAGGCAGGCAATAGTCCTCCAATCCGAGATACTTCCCCAAATGTCAACGCTTGCTAGCAATGGGATACTACACCACATACCCAGGTAGGTACTTGCTATCTGGACCAGGTACCTACTGTACATGTAGATAGTGCATCGAATATCAGTAGGGGAGGTGCTCTCCCAATTGGAAGTATTGAAACAGCAGGGAAGGAGACTGTAACCTTGCCGAATTGGGATTCTACAGGCTAGACAGGCAGGGGACAGTTAAAACGGAACTTTCCCAAATGTTGAACTCTGTTTCGCGTGTGTGGTCTTTTTTTTTTTTTTTTTTTTTTTTTTTTTCTTCCCTTCCCTCCTAATGTCGCCGTCGGATCTTGGTTGGTTACAATGGAACTGGGGAGGGAGGGTCCAGGTTTTTCGGTTCAAGGTACCGGGAGACAGCCTGTAATTTACACTAGTGTAGTGCTCACTAGCCGCATGCTTGCCTCGCACTCCCCCACCACACCAACGACATGGGTTTTCTATGCCTCCTCTGATTTGTTCTGGCCTCACCCATTTTCCCACCATTTCTCAACCATCTCAACTGTCCATCCTATAAGAGATGGCACGTATGTAGATAGTCTGTCAGCTAAGTACCAGCCGAGCAGCAGCGTGCTCCACACGATTTTATCCATGAATCTCCTATCACTATCTATATTCATAGTGTGCTAGCTATGATCAGACCTAATGTTGTTGTTGTAGCGCTTCGATGATCTGCAAATATAACGAAAAAGATACCTAGATTACTCGCGTGTCAACCTCCATACAGTGTGAACTGCCGAGAGAGTACTCCCCACCCCTTGAGTACTACTGCTCGAGGGCCGAGCCGAGGTGTATCTATGTCAGTAAATAATGATTTGATTACATCGATCTGACCTGACCTCGGGGGTTTCTATATGTCCGGTGTATGACGATTCTTCTTTAATCTTGTTCTCGTCCCGTGCGGCTAGTGTAAGTAGAGCAATGTTCCTACATGTACAAGTAGGGGCTTGGCAGCCGTTGTTCCGTAGTACCACCACAGCGGGCTAGATGGAGGGCCTAAACTCTAGGGGTTTGTAATCCAGCGGGGACAAGTATCTGTACCCGAGCTTTCAATATTTTCAACTTCAATCAATCTCGGTTGCTTTGTGTTTACTACCTAGGTAGGTACCGTAGCTCTCAGCCAGCATACAGAGTATACAGAGTTACCCCCAATGATATCAAGTTTGTTGCTCTACGCATACCGTACCTAGGTATGTATGTAGGTTAGGTAGTAGGTAATGCTTCAAGTATCAGGCTCATGCTCAACCACAGCACAACTACGAGTTTTGCTCCCTCTTGTCATCCCTGTCCTCCGGCATTCCTGCTTCAAGCAGCGACTTTGACTTTTTAAAAGCCGTGCTTTTCTGGTTACTGGTATCAAAAGAAGCCAGGGTTACGTATTTTCGTTCAGTCGAACAAGAATATTAACAAGAACACTGTAGGCAATCTGCAATGGCGAGCGGTAAGGTTACGTACTGCATGCTGTGTTGCTTGCATCGTATTTGGTGATACCAACCTGCGTATGCACTGCTCACCCCCTTACTGGGAATTGTCGAGATACCTACAACACTTGCATCCTGCTCTACTACGTATGTGTAGCCTTACCTGGTGCAAGGCGCGTGGATTTCTCAAGTGCCCAGTAACCTACCTATCCAAAAGACCTACCTAGGTATCTGCTAGGTGGTAGAGAGAGGATTCCTTTTCCTTCCCAAGATGAGGGTCTGGTTGAGGTCAACGAAATGCTATGTACAGGTACATTGTGGGGCTAGCATGGTGGTGAGGTCCAGAATTGCGATTCTCCAAATGGTCCTAGCCCGGATCCCTCTTCTAGCAGGGGCCAGGGTCGTAGGTGTGGCACCCAATTCCAACTCAATCCCCAACAAGATGGAACAAAATTGTTTGGCGCGAAGCAGTCCATTGACTATTTTTTTTCGTTGCCTAGCAGCAAATTCCACCACGTACCGGCTTTCTAACACTACCTATTGAGTGAGAGATACGTGTACGTACCCGCTAGAGCAGCATGTTGAGGAGTGCCTAGGCAAGGGCGCGGGTTAAGGGAACCGCCCGCCACTGGTCTGGCAATGAGGCGAGGTACCTTCTGAAGCAACCTGGGAAGTACCTCCAGAAGTACCTGGCGTGGGCTCTCAGGGTTCTCATGGACCGCAAACCCGCAGCCAGTATCTACCTGTACCATCCAGTGTAAGTACTTATCACAACAAGTACTCCCGTATCGGAGCACCATACACGCACTCCCCAGAAAAAGCTGTCCGGTTTCTGGCTTGAAGCTTCAAGGGACCAACCGACCTTGAGCCACCTCTTCTGGTTCATTCTTTCCAGCATATGCCTGTCGTAGACTGTTTCTCTCGATTCGACTTTCAGATCTCTTAGAGTGTCAAGTTCTAGCCACCTGACACATAATTGCCGTACAAACGAAACGAGGTCGTCGCCAGTCTCTTGCTTCAAATAATTACGTCCCCTACTTGTCACTATCGCCTTCACTCCACGCTCAAGCCATTCGCGCTTCTACCGTATGCTAATAGAGATAAACTCTTGTTGCTGTTCCTCTTCAACTTCTAGGCGGGGTTTAGACAATAACTCATCATTATACCACATTAAAATTCTCCTGCTCTTCGCTGAGTCAACGGAGAAACTGCCCTCACTAATGTATGGCCCAGAATTTGCACCCTCCCTACCTGCATGCCTCGTCAAGTTGCTGATTATGTGCGCTCAACAGATTGGGAAACCTCTCTAGGAGACAGTAGAACCGAACCAACCTCTTTATACAATGTACGGCACAAACACCGGACCACAGACGGGCGTGTCTACACCTAGATCCTCTTCTTCTCTCCGTCCCCTAACACTCTCACACGGGTCGCTCGAGGCTTCGTTCCTTGTTCCCACAAACCTACATTTCCATGCCTCAGAACTCAAGGACCGTTTCACAGCCGGTCTACCTACCCCTACCGATGAATTGGCCCAAGATGACGAACCATCGTCTGTAGCCGAGCTTGTGGCTCGCTATATGGGCTTTGTAGCCAACGAAGTAGAAGAGGGGGAAGATGATGCCCAGGGGTCCTATGAAGAAGTCTTGAAGCTTGTTCTTAACGAGTTTGAGCGCATGTACCTTAGAGGCAACGATGTCCACGCCTTAGCCAAGACGTTACCTGGTATCCTTGAGAAGCAGATAACAGTTGTAAAGAGCTACTACGCTGCCCGCTCCGTTGCCAATCGGGCAATGAAGCCGCACGAATCCGCCTTGTTCAGAGCCGCTGACGAAGGATCCACAACGATTTACAGCATCTTCGGAGGTCAGGGAAACATCGTCGAGTACTTTGACGAGCTTCGCGAAGTATACAATACCTATCCTTCATTTGTGGGCGAGTTGATTACACGATCAGCAGAGCTCCTTCACAATTTGGCGCGGGATCCTCGGGCTCAGAAACTGTATGCGAAGGGTATTGATGTTCTTGAATGGCTGCAGTCGCCAGATGCGACGCCTCATAATGACTATCTGGTATCTGCACCTGTCAGTTTCCCATTGATTGGTTTAGTGCAGCTATGCCATTACCAGATTCTCGGAAAGGGCTTGGGCGTTCACCCTGGTATTTTACGAGATCGTATACAGGGTGCTACGGGTCATTCACAAGGTGTTGTGGTCGCCGCAGCTACGGCAGCTGCCGACTCTTGGGAGTCGTTTGAGAAATATGCTAGCTACGCATTAACAATTCTATTCTGGATTGGTGCTCGGAGTCAGCAAGTATTTCCGAAGACCTCTTTAACGCCAAAAACTTTACGAGATTCAGTCGATAATGGCGAGGGTGAACCAACGCCTATGTTGAGTATTCGTGACTTACCCCAAAATGAGGTCCAAAAGCATATTGATGCGACGAATCAATATTTACCCAAGGACCAACATATCGCCATCTCGTTAGTCAACAGTCCAAGAAACATGGTTGTAACTGGACCTCCCATCTCGCTATACGGTCTTAATCTGCAATTACGAAAGGTTAAGGCTCCGACAGGGCTAGATCAGAACAGGATCCCGCACACAGAACGCAAAGTACGCTTTGTGAATCGCTTCTTACCTATCACTGCGCCATTCCACAGTAAATATCTTGCCGATGCAACCAAACTAATCGATCAAGACTTGAAAGATATCAAGATTGACGTATCATCGCTTGGAATTGCGGTTTACAACACATGCAGTGGTGCAGATTTGAGGTCTACCGTCCAAGGCGACATTGTCCCATCCCTAGTGCGAATGATCACGCGAGATTCCGTGCAGTGGGAAAAAGCAACCCAGTTTCCCGAGGCGACTCACGTTCTTGACTTCGGCCCAGGTGGTATCTCAGGTCTTGGCGTCCTAACCAGCCGTAATAAGGAGGGTACAGGCGTACGTGTCATTCTGGCTGGAGCTGTTGATGGCTCCGCGCAAGAAATCGGATACAAGTCTGAACTCTTTGACCGTGACGAAGAGCATGCAATCGTCTATGCCGACGATTGGGTCAAAAAATATGGCCCCCGTCTTGTGAAGGCATCCACTGGCAAAGTCTATGTAGACACCAAGATGAGTAGATTGCTCGGAATCCCGCCAATCGTCGTTGCTGGTATGACTCCTACCACTGTCCCTTGGGATTTTGTAGCTGCAACGATGAAGGCTGGTTACCAGATCGAGCTGGGTGGTGGTGGATACTACAATGCTAAGACAATGTCTGAAGCGTTGAACAAGATTGAACAGGCTGTTCCCGCAGGACGTGGTATCGCCGTCAACCTGATATACGTTAATCCGAGGGCCATGGGCTGGCAAATACCACTACTCGCCCGTCTCCGATCTGAGGGTGTTCCCATTGAGGGGCTGACCATTGGTGCGGGTGTTCCATCAATCGAGGTTGCTCAGGAATACATCGAGACCTTGGGTCTGAAGCATATATCCTTCAAGCCCGGGTCCTTAGAAGCAATTCAAGCAGTTATCAACATTGCCAAGGCAAATCCCACGTTTCCCGTCATTCTTCAGTGGACTGGTGGTCGAGGTGGAGGCCATCATTCCTTCGAAGACTTTCATCAACCAATTCTCCAAATGTACGGTCGTATCAGACGATCAGACAACATCATTTTGGTAGCTGGAAGTGGATTTGGTGGTTCTGAGGACACTTACCCCTACCTTACTGGTGATTGGTCAAAGAAATACGGTTATCCCGCCATGCCGTTCGACGGCTGTCTTTTTGGTAGCCGTATGATGGTCGCTAAAGAAGCGCATACCAGCAAAGCTGCTAAGCAAGCTATTGTCGATGCAGAAGGTCTGGATGACGACCAATGGGAGAAAACTTACAAGGGTCCAGCTGGCGGTGTGATTACCGTAAGGTCAGAGATGGGAGAGCCGATTCACAAGCTTGCTACCCGAGGCGTCTGTTTTTGGGCGGAAATGGACCAGAAGATCTTCAGCTTGCCCAAGGAGAAGCGCGTAGCAGAGCTTAAGAAGAATCGTGATTATATCATCAAGAAGCTCAACGACGATTTCCAAAAGGTTTGGTTCGGCCGCAACAAGGCTGGAGAGACAGTAGATCTTGAGGACATGACCTACGGCGAAGTGGTGCGACGTATGGTCGAGCTTCTTTACGTAAAGCATGAGGCCCGTTGGATTGATCCCTCCTATAAGAAATTGATGGGTGATTTCATCCATCGTCTGGAGGAGCGGTTCACCACTAGTCCAAACCAGCCGTCTATGTTGCAGAACTACGCGGATCTCAATGACCCTTTCCCATGCATTGAGAAGATTTTGGGCCAGTATTCTGAGGCTGATGCTCAGATTATCAACGCTCAAGATGTACAGCACTTCCTACTCCTGTGCCAGCGCCGTGGTCAGAAGCCCGTAACTTTTGTTCCTGCACTAGACGAGAACTTTGAGTTCTTTTTCAAGAAGGATTCTCTTTGGCAGTCAGAAGATTTGGAAGCAGTCATCGGCCAAGATGTCGGTCGTACCTGTATTTTGCAAGGCCCTATGGCCGCCAAATTCTCGACCAAAATAGACGAGCCCGTCAAGGACATTTTGGATGGCATCCACAACGGACTCGTTTCCAAGCTGACCAACGACGTCTACGGAGATAGCATCAACTCAATCCCAACCATTGAGTATTTCGGTGGTAAGCTCATTGAAACAGAGGCGCCATCAGATCTTGAAGGCCTCGTTATCTCTGAAGATGAGCAAAAGAATACATACCGACTGTCTTCATCTCCCACTGCTACATTGCCCTCGGTCGAAAGTTGGCTATCCCTGCTAGCTGGCCCACGCCGTGGTTGGCGGCACGCACTTTTTACGTCAGAGGTTGTCGTTCAGGGAAAGAAATACCAGACAAATCCAATGAAGAGGATTTTTGCACCTGTTCGTGGGCTCTTTGTCGAGATTCAACATCCCGATGAACCCGCAAAGACTTCCATCCTTGTGCGTGAACAACCTCGTCACAACCACTACCAAGATGTGATTGAGGTTAAATTCGATGGAAAGAGTGAGGTAACTGTCAGTATGATCAAGGAGACCACTGCCCTAGGAAAGCCTGTCTCCCTTCCCCTTAGATTCGTTTACCGGCCAGAGGCTGGCTATGCCCCTATTCATGAAGTCATGGAGGGTCGCAACGACCGGATCAAAGAGTTTTATTGGCGGGCATGGTTTGGCAATGACGCATTCGACCTCAACGGCGATGTTCATTCGCAGTTTGACGGCGGTAAAGCCACCATCACCAGCAACGAAATCCACGACTTTGTGCACGCTGTTGGTAATACAGGTGAGGCGTTTGTCGACCGCCCAGGCAAAACCATGCTTGCCCCTATGGACTTTGCCATCGTTGTCGGATGGAAAGCAATCACAAAGCCGATCTTCCCTCGCAAGATCGATGGTGATCTTCTAAAACTCGTTCATCTGTCTAACGGGTTTCGTATGATGCCTGGTGCAGATCCTTTGCAGAAAGGCGATATCGTCAAAACAACTGCTCAGATCAACGCCGTCATCAACCAAGATTCTGGCAAAATGGTGGAAGTCTGCGGTACCATCTATAGAGGTGGCGCGGCAGTCATGGAGGTCACATCACAGTTTTTGTATCGGGGCGTGTATACCGATTACGAGAATACATTCCAACGTAAACTCGAAACTCCAATGCAAGTTCACCTGGATACGTCGAAGGATGTTGCTGTGTTGCGATCAAAGGACTGGATCCAGCTTGACAATAACGATATTGAGCTGCTAGGCCAGACATTGACGTTTCGCCTTCAAAGTCTAGTCACTTTCAAGAACAAGACTGTTTTTAACACAGTGGCGACCAGCGGCCAAGTCCTACTTGAGCTTCCCACCAAAGAAATCATTCAGATTGGTAGCGTAGATTACGAAGCTGGCGTTTCTCACGGAAATCCTGTTCTCGATTATCTTGAACGCCATGGTTCATCCATCGAGCAACCCATCTTGTTTGAGAACCCAATTCCCCTGAGTGGCAAGACACCTCTTCTTCTGAAGGCACCCGCCTCGAATGAGACTTATGCCAAAGTCTCCGGTGACTACAATCCCATCCACGTTTCCCGGGTTTTCTCCAGCTATGCCAATTTACCAGGTACAATCACGCATGGCATGTACTCAAGTGCAGCCGTCCGAAGCTTGGTTGAGACATGGGCTGCCGAGAATAATGTTGGCCGGGTCCGAAGCTTCCACGCTTCCTTGGTTGGGATGGTCCTTCCTAACGACGACATTGAGGTTAAACTTCAGCATGTCGGAATGATTGGTGGCCGAAAGATTATCAAAGTCGAAGCCAGCAACAAAGAAACAGAAGAGAAGGTCCTTCTGGGTGAAGCCGAGGTTGAGCAGCCGGTCACAGCTTACGTCTTCACTGGTCAAGGTTCCCAAGAACAAGGTATGGGTATGGACCTGTACGCATCTAGTCCAGTTGCCAAGGAGGTGTGGGATAGAGCCGATAAGTACCTCCTAGATACATACGGTAAGTTCAGTTTCTCATACATCCATCTGTTCACATCGTTGCTAACCATCGTCAGGCTTCTCGATCCTAAATATTGTCAAAAATAACCCAAGAGAGCTCACCGTCCATTTTGGCGGTCCCCGTGGTAAAGCCATTCGAGAGAATTACATGCAAATGAATTTCGAGACGATTGGCGCCGACGGAACTGTAAAGTCTGAGCGTATCTTCAAGGAAATCAATGAAAAAACGACATCCTATACCTACCGTTCACCTGCGGGCCTATTGTCGGCTACCCAGTTTACCCAACCCGCCTTGACACTTATGGAGAAAGCCAGTTTTGAAGATATGAACGCCAAAGGTCTAGTGCCACGAGATAGCACATTTGCCGGTCACTCGCTAGGAGAGTACTCGGCTCTTGCCGCTCTTGCCAACGTGCTCCCTATTGAATCCTTAGTATCTGTGGTTTTCTATCGTGGATTAACTATGCAAGTGGCTGTCGAGCGAGATGCACAAGGACGATCTAACTACTCAATGTGCGCTGTGAATCCCAGCCGCATTTCTAAGACATTTGGAGAACCCGCTCTTCGTTTCTTGGTTCGTAGCATTGCCGAGGAGACTGGCTGGCTCTTGGAGATTGTCAACTACAACATTGCCAATATGCAATATGTGTGCGCTGGGGATCTTCGTGCTCTCGATACGCTAACTAGTGTTACAAACTTCTTAAAGGCCAAGAAAGTCGACACCAACCAGTTGCTCAACAATGTCAGCAGCGAGGAGTTGAAGCAGCAGCTTGCCGACATCATCAAAGGCGCTGCGCAACAAACGTTAGCGAAGCCACGGCCACTTGAACTAGAGCGAGGCTTTGCCACGATCCCATTGAAGGGTATTGACGTGCCATTCCACTCTACCTTCTTACGATCTGGTGTCAAGCCTTTCCGCAATATCTTGCTGAAGAAGATTAATAAGACCTCAATTGACCCTTCCAAGCTTGTCGGGAAATACATTCCTAACGTCACGGCTCGTCCGTTCGAACTCACAAAAGAGTACTTCCAAGACGTGTACAACTTGACCAGCTCGCCCAAGATTGCCCAGATTCTCCAGAATTGGGACAGCTACCAGGACGAGACAAGCAAAGTTAATGGCGTTAATGGAGGTGATGTCACTGAGGTCTTAGTCAATGGTCAGCATTGAGTACATTCAGCATTCGAGTTGATGTCTGGTGGGAAGCAATTGAAAAATGAACTGTATCAAGAGGTCGTATTAGGTTATCAGCGCTAAGAGGCTACTATAACCGGGGAATTTGTATGCATTATATCCTTTGAGAACATCCATGAGGTGTGTTTCTGGAGTCCACAGGAGTTAGGCTATTGTTTTACCTTGATGATAGAATAAAGTCCAATTTGGACCCCCTACTTTTACGGTCGTTATTTGACTCTGGTGATGATGCACTGTGAGCTCCCTGACTTGAACGTGAACAAACGCTTTACTGTATTCCTATCTAGGTGCTTGGGTTGGACCGAATTGGTTTCTTAACTGGTCATTGCTAACATCCAAAAAGGTATAAAATACCAATACAATGATATAGGAGTAACGACTGCCGGGGCATTGTATGAACTGCACTAGATTGACTGGGTAGGTAGATGGGAGGGTTCATAGTAGACTATGGAATGCAATAGGTAGATGTCGTATTAACATGTGTTGGGTGTCACTACCTCACACCCTCTCTGTCAATCAGCGTATATACACATGACATACAGTGGCCCTTCTCTTCTTGTGATATGGTAGAGTCTATATCCATGACCATAAAGCGATTTAGCTAGGTTGTAGTAAGCGAGTGCTATTGAACTTAAAAAGCACTGCGGTGATTGTGAAGTAACGCATGAGAACTACAACTACGGAGGGTTTTGTATGATATTCATTGTTACGCGAAGGTTTGAAGCCGTCGCGACTAGGTGAGGGCAATATACACCTAATCTCCTTGTCTGTAGCCCTAGGATCGCAGACCATGACATTCGTGTTCTGTGTTCAGCAAAGATGCCGATAGATGAGTGTGCCGTCCCATCAGCCCTTGATAGCCCTAGCCAGGTCGTCGACGATGAGTTATCTATTCTGGCCTTGACTGCGTTATAGACTTTATGTCTAACACTGCAATCTGCTTCTAGGGCTCACATTGGTAAATGCGCTCTGTGGTCTTTATATTTTCGACCCGATGTCATCGCCACTAAGATACGACGAAGAAACCAACTATTCATCTTAGGCACGAATAACAACAAATAATAACTTTACAACTTTCAGGTGATACATCATATTGATGGCGATGGAGCATGCGAAGGCTATATTGGGAGACCTCAAATAGTCCCTACCACCGAGAGGATTCGTACCGGGGTCCCGCCAGTGTTGACAATGGCCACAAGGGGAAATTTCTGGCTCTTGAACGATATCATATATTTTCAACATATTTTGCTGTTGTTATCAATAATGGTATAATGGGACTGCAAACCAGTGAAAAATTCCAGTAGCAGAAGATTGGTTATGTTCGCAATGAAATTCTCAGAAGCAACGAATCTCATGAACCAACTCTACTACTATTGGAGATGTATGACGGTTGAATCTGAAGTTTTGATTGCAAGTCACTACAACAAAACCCTTTCCCAAAAAGTCAAATACGACCCAGCTATATTAATGGCAATGTCGTCAGGTCAATTTTGTTGACGAGTTGTAATGGAACCCCTCTTTTCAAAAATTTTCTTTCTATCTCAGGTTTCGTTATATTGTTCAAGTTTGAAAGATTGGTGATAGGCTACTTGCGGAAATAAGAGAATAATATAGGAGATAGTAGTATATCCAAATTATAAACTACTACTCTCCTATGGGGGTTAGACAAGTGTATAAATATATGAAATTACGAGGTCAGATTGCCAAACTAAGCCGGAGTGATCTAAGTCGAGACCGAGCGGCAAAACAATCTCGTATTCATTGGACATGTGCACATAACCAGAATGGCTGAATAATACGCTTTAGAAGAGCCCTGTTCCTTAGCTGGTCAAATGCCGTGAGACTGATCTTTATGTGATAACCTAGAACAAGTAGTGGTGTGTATCTCTACATACAGCTTCCAGCGGACCATGCCATTGCTGATGTAGTCGGCAACATCGGTACTGCTTATATTAATTGAAGTACAATAATGCAATCCGTTATGTGAGAGTTGATTCGTGATGCGCCTCTGGGAGTCGCCCTTCTCCTATCGCCTGACTTGAAAATCAACACTCGTGTCCTTACACTGGATGCCAGCTATGGGTGCTGACTTCCCGAGTCTACATAATATAGGTACCTCCCTCAAATTACATGATGATCACGAAAGCTTCTGTGCCGCAGGCCTGGGGTTTATCTCGAATAGTTCAGTAATCTCTTACCAACATAAAGAACGCATCCCGCGTCATAACGCCCGTCTGACAGGGACTTCCCTACAAAATCTATACGTATCGCTCTTATTCTTGAATTTCAAATATTGAAACGAAGTCGGGCCGTAGGACAAGATGGAAGGAGTACGGCGCACAGTTCGTACACCAGACATCTCTTCTCCGCCATGCTCACCTCGTACAGTATGTTTGTCTGTGAACTCGCTTCGGCGTGAGCTATAGCTATTGGCATAAGAAGTGACTACGGCCCCCAACATCAGATCGGATAGTGACATACGTTGTACGAACCCACACCGCCTTAAACCAAAAAAAAAAAAAAAAAAAAAAAAAAAAAAAAAAAAAAAAAAAAAAAAAAAAAAAAAAAAAAAAAACATGGTGTGGTACTCCTCCCGTCCTTGCGGGATGACGAACAGGTGAAGAGACTGCTCGATCTGACCATGGCGGATTACCCGCCTTTCTGATAGGTAGCTGAACTCGCTTGAAGAGTCTGACTGGCTTGAACGCCATTTTGTCACGGGTCAGGATCTAATCTTCCAAATTCCCCGCCATAGAGTACCGTAGGAAGCAGCCCCTTCCGGGGAATGCCCATCTTTTGCCCCATATCCCGCGACCCATGGCAGTGGACGATTCTAGTGTACGTCTATGTGAAGCATTCCAAAACCGCGGGAGCAATCGCCGCCTTGGCGGCCACGACTCGGCGACCACCTAGGAAGGTGCATTATAGGACCATGTACGCAGGAAGAAAATTTGGTGACGGGAGGCATAGATTAGGTAGCTGAATAAGCCGCCACATTGGAAATAAGGTACAGATCCAACACGTGGTGAGGTCGCTGTCGTGTAACAAGACTGCCTGGCGGTTTGAGCGAGCGTCTGCAAGATGTGAGATACGATACCAGCTAGGGAGGTGTGAGTGTATCTAAGACCAAGATGACTGCACAAGCGCACATTCTGCGAAAAAAAAAAAGTCCTGAACCAGTCCTAAGCCACCTACCTGCTAAGATGCTTCGTGAGCGTGTAAAGCCGGCTCGATGAAGCGTCACTAAGAGAAATAGCATATTTTTAAACGCTTGGATTGAAAACCATTGGCTACGTGAACTAGTAGATTGCGTTATCGGCCTTGAGCCGAGGCGCCAAAATGCATTGCTTACCTGCTATTGATGCATCGTGAATAACCTGGGCACCGGTAGGGATCCGGGGCACGCGAATGGCAGCGCGAAACACTCGGTAAAGCGCTCGGTTCAGGATTTTTTCTCGCAATATTGATTATGACTTCTTGGTTACCAACGGCGGTAGAGTCACAACCCAGCTCAGGCGGCCAGGCCAGAGCTGGCCACCCACTTCAGCTACAGCGGGTCGAGCTGCCACATGCACGTGGCTTTACGACTCGCATTGCTTACTGCATTTGCGCAGCTTGGACCGGGTCTGTAATAGGGCACTGGCTCTCGCTTCCTTCGGAGTGAGACGATGGGTCAGGAGATGGCCCAACTTGTCGGTTACGTAAGTTGATATACAGTTCTTCTGAGTAGGAGTTCGAGTCGCGAAAGGGACGATGGATGATGACGATGGGTGGCATACATACTGTAAGACAACGCTCACGTCCACATCAGATGCTATACATACATACATACATATGGCGAAATGCATTAGGGCGCTCGAACGTTATCCTGCAGACTCTCTTGGCCACTCGTCGACGATACGAGGGAAGAATAGAATCCAATCACATGCATATCCTCTCTCGGCGGAATACAGCGCCACACACCAGATCCCATCAAGATATGATGTGAGCAGTATATCGCCTTCTGGATCGAGGGTGTCGTACTGAGTGATACATTGCCTCAGCCGCATGATTAGCAGCGATCTCTTCGCTGCCTGGTTTCGCCGACTCAAGCGCGCCCCCGACCGACGGGTTTACCGAGCGGCAATACCACGCAGTTTACACTCTGAAAACCTACGCCTCGTTATCTGAAACAGGATATCCACGAAATGATTCACCCCCGCCAATGGGCTTATGTGATGTCGGACACGACTAAGAAATCAGCGAGGAAAGGGATTCAGATTTGAGTTTGATGACGCCTTTGATAGATATTAGCCTTCATTTTCAGACACTGCCTGTATGGGAGGCGATAATTTTCACTCCCTGCAGGAATGTTATTACCGAGTGCTGAACTGTCGCGAGGGTCACTCGCTATTACCTAGAGCACGACTAAGAGGACCCCCCTTTGTTTCTCAAAACAATAACTAATAAATAATAATAATAATACATAAAAAAAAAAAAAAACCCCCTCGGCATCATCCTACAGGATTCCATCGAAAAGCGGACGCTTACAAGCAGGAATCTGAGATAACGAGATGCTTTGCCCACGACCCCCCTCCGATCTGACAGAGCCTTCAAATCCTCCACGGCATCCAGTTTCGCCTATATCTGTTGTTTAGATGGCCATCCGTATCTGGCTATCCGATGGCGATATCGTAACTGTGGCTTCTAAGTACCACTGTCACCCTGATAAAATTTTGTGGTGACGGAGCAACCTCTTTTTGCACTGTCGACGTCATGTAACTGTGAACTACTTACTCTGCTTATTGCTCGCTTGGGCGCCCTATAACCCTATAACAGCGTTATCTATTATGCATATAGCCCATAGATCAGGTATTAAACACGGATGGAAGCAAATAGCTACCTGAGGTAGAATAGGCGTTGAGAGACTTTGCCACGACGTATACCAATAGTACAATTGCGACTTTAAACGAATGCTAGATAAGGCTCGTGTTGAT